AACTCTGATATTCTATGATTCTATGACTCTCATTGAGGATTACATGCCGGAATGAAGAGAAAAATGGACCTCTTCATAATAAATAATATATGGAGATATACCTATCTCAGAGAGCTGGAAGGGAGTCCAGCCCCCTGCCTTCACTAGCAGGACCAAGTACTGACTTTGCCCCAGATCCCCAAGTGGCCCCCTCAAGGATTGAGCTCATAACCCTGGGTTTAGCAGGCCAATGCTCAAACCACTGAGCTATCCCTCTCCCCCTGAATTCTTTGAGGATTTATATCCCTCATTCACAAAGACACCAGGGAGGGAGAACTAGCATTTTAAAGGGACATTGCTACATAGCTTAGGCTCAACATTGAATTTAAACCTTAAAATGGTGAGGACCTATGGGAGTGGAGTATTCTAGGGAATCGGAGCAGAGGATTTAGGAATAATGCTCTGGTGTTGGCTCGCAGTGTGACTGTGGGCAAATCCACTACAATGTCTGTGCCTCCGGTTTCCTATCTATAAGATTAGGATAATGATGCTGAACCCACTTCACAGGGAGGTAGTTTGAGGCTTAATTAATATACATTTCCAATGACCTCTGAAAACTTCAGATGAAAAGGTGCTATCAAACAAAGTATTATTCTTATTCTTATTCATCACCTGGTGGAGAACAGGGGTTATAAATATTTTTAAAAACATTCCGCCAATGCCTCTGAGAAAACGAGAAAACCAAAAAAGGAAATAGCCGTAGTTTGCTGAGGGACTCACCCGTATTTCGTGCTCTGCACCAGCAGAGGGAGCACAAGCTCATTAGCAATCCCTGACCCCAGAGATGTGCTGATATCAAGCTGGTGACAAACCAGGATCAAAGGCTCCAGAGCCAAGCTGGGGCCACCTTAGAAGCTGGGAACCTTGTTACTGAGCCACCCACTCACAAGTGGGGCAAACCCAACCGTGATATTGAAACTAAGACTGTATTGCAAACCAGAAAGCGCCCAGGAATGAAATCTGATACATCACTAGGAGGTCCTACATGTAACTGAAACGACCAGCTGCCTAGAGACTCTGAGAAGCCCTGAAATCTGACGAGCAATGGCTGGAGAGAGTGGAGATCCACCAGAGGATGTATTTAGCTCTTAGTGAACGAGTTCGGCATTGAAAAATGTAGCAAAGTCATGACACGCCAGATACAATCAAACTTCATGTGCTTTCTTCAAGCAGCAATTGGTCACCTGTGCACCTGCATTCATGGAACATTTGTTGTTTTCATCCTCCCTTTGGGAACATGTATACAATACTCAACAAAAAAAATTACCTGGATGCCAAATCTTTGCCCTTTTCCCGTTTGCACTAGCCCCTCGCTTTGAAGCATAGATGACCGTTGAAATTGGACTCCGCCTCCTATCTCATCTCACATGGACCACAGGACAGTGGTCAGAAGGCAATGCTTTGTAGTCGCTATAGATGGAGCACTGTGGGTCTGATCCAAAGCCCCCTAAAGCCAATGGGGGTCTTCTACTGACTTCAATGGGCTTTAGATCAGGTCGTATCTTGATGCACGGGGCACTCAGCTAGAATGGAGGAGCAGGTCATCCTCATTAAGCTTTTTCTGCTAACAACAAGACAGGAAGCATGGCAGAAACTTCTCTGAAGGCCAAACTGGAGGCTCAGTCCTGAAAGCTTTCACCTTGCAAGTAGTCCCATTGCAACCAAGGGCTTCTCACATGAATAAGGACTACTTGTGCAAAGCAGGGTTGTAGGATTGGGCAATTGGGTGTTTAACGGTTTACTTAGGGCCTGATTCAAAGACCAATGAAGTCAACTGAGAGGTGCCCAGTGACTCGAATGGGCTTTGGCTCAGGCCCATACAGAGCCTACTCATTTAAGAATTTGCATAACAAAATGGGCAGCTAGGAATCAAGGACGTGAAACTCAGGCCATGGTCTGTGCAAAGCAGCAGACGGGTAATTTCCAAACGAACTTTTGAAGGGAAGGTTAAATTTCTCCAAGATAAGGAGAGCTAGAGTGAGCTGGAATGCACCCCCCCACACACACCTCCCAAGCTCATCCCCATGATAACAGCTGTTGTGTTGGAAACCTAATGCTGATGAAAGAGTTAAAGGCTGGCTGATGGGCGATATCGGTGACATACCTCTGAATTGAGCATGCTCCTGGAGTGAGACCGCAGACTGGTGTTACTCAATGAATAGAGGCCACTCCAAGGGAGTTTTTCCTTGAATAGAATGGGGTCAGGGAGCCGCTTTGGGGAACAATGGTTGCCACCGGCTAGCTGAATTTCTTACAATCACACACCATACCCCCTGATCAAATAGCTCCTTTGTCAGCCTGATATAAAAACATGTCATACAATGATGATCTGGAAGAATGACATGAGCTTGCCTTTCAAAGAGATCAGAAGGGCTTCTTGTGCACAAAAAGAGCCCCCATCAGAGTCAAGAAAGGGGAAAATGGAGAATCCAGGGGGTGAATGGAAACAAACAGCAATAACAACAACAACAGAAAAGGCGGCGAGTTGGAAACCCGGGTCTGGTTTGTTTCACAGCAGCACAGCACGATCTCATTGAATCTCTTTCGGTATTAACGGGGATGTCAGATTGTGCTGCCATTGGGCTTCCATTGTCAATCTGCACTGGGACAGAAGAAATTGCTGGATGGGAAAAGGTCACTTGGCCCAACGAACCTACCCCCCTCTCCAAAGTGTCTCAACGCCATCTCCCGGCTTTCCCACTGTATCCCTCTCTCCTCTGTCTTCCTAACAATGTCTAGCTGCTGCCTTTATGTTATGTACATAGTTCTGTGTGCCGGTGTGGCCATTCTTGCCCATCTGCTTGTTATGACTTTGAGAACGAATCCTTCTCGCCCAAATCCCTTTTTATCTTTCATGTTTTATTTCTTAGATTGTGTCTCCTGGTTTCAACCTTCTGTCACCAGCATCTGCGGGCATGATCTAGATGTTTTGCAGGAGAAGGGTCTTCTCCCCTGACAATCTCCCAAGACATACAGGAAAGGAGCTCCTCACAGACCTCGTAAGGCAGAGCATTCCAGTGGTGTTTAGCACAACGGTCCCACACTATGGCATTTACATGCATTATGGACAATATTTTGCAAGCTAGCAGAGCTAGCTTTGAAGGCCTGAAGAGAGGGGCTGGAATTTCCAGTTGGGCTCAGCACCCTCAGTCAGGGTCAGACTTTCAGACCAGCTCAGTGCAGTTATGATAGCATGTCAGCTGGGGAAATCTGGCTCCAATTGTACGTGCTGCGCACTTGAAAAATTGGCCCCGGGTCAGTTTAAAACTTGGTCCCGGCTCTCTTTTTATGGTTTTTTCTATTTTCTGCCATCTTTAAAAACAACCTAGGAAATTCCACACAAATGCTGTGTTAAAAGATCATTAAGTATGTTTGGCTAAGCCCTGCAATCAGGAAATGCACTCTGCTCTCTTGTGTGTATGCATTAGGATAGATTTCTATGATCACATGCTATTTCTCCTTCTATACAATATATTCTCATACCGTTTTTCAACAGGCTTAGATAACATCTTGCAGTATTCTGCAGTACTCTGTATACACGCAGTACAGCCTCATCAACTCATTTATAAGAAAAGTACACAGCAAACTGTTGACAGAATACACTGTATATTAAATACAAACAACAGGAAAAAATAATTGCTGGCATATATAAGCCATCTAAAATTGCTGCTAAATTATCTTCGTAGTTAAAGCCCTTAGCCTTTTCCTTCCACCTGGAAGTCTGCACTGCTGTGCGGTCACAGGACAATTGTCCCATTAAGGGGAGTCAGAACCTCGCCTGCCCATGACACCTCTCTGAAGACCCACCTGGCAGTAACTGGTTGCCCCAGGTGCTTGTTCTGTAGAAGACAACTGCACCCTATAAAAAGGCTGCCTGGGCTCAGTACTGCCAGGAGGAAGGTGCCTCTGAGGAGAAGATGCGTGGAGGGGGACGGCAACCCCAGAGGGAGAGTGTTCCACAGGAAGGAACTGGGAGGGCTCCAGAGAGAGAGAGACTGTTCCCGTGGTGGAGAGAGCAGAAGTTTCCTGAACAGAAGGAACTAGAAGCTGTTTTCCAAGGGAAGGGAGCAGGAGTAGCCTAGAAGCCCTGGCTTCAGATGAGGGTCTTGGGCTGAGTGTCCCGTGGCTAAAGGACCAAGCAGTTAGTTGGACTGACCCTGAGAGACTGCATTTCCCAAGAGGGGCCTGAACAACTGGTTTTGCTTGAGCGTATGTTACTCTTTGTTGTTAATAAATGAGCCCTTCTGAGGGGGATGCTTGTTAATGCCCAGAAGGTCTGTTTTGGACGTGTCTAGCCCGGGGTGAGGGCGTGTCTAAGGCAGGGCTTGCCCGCAGCGCCATGCCTGAGTGCTAGAAGGGCCACAGCCGGAGGTGGAGCAGCCAGATGTGCAAATCTAGCTTCATAATTAACCACCTTCACTCCTGAAATGTCTCAGCAAGGCTGTGCTGCTGGTTGGGAACAAACACAGAATGTCCAGGACACTGGCAGACTTATTCAAACAGGCAAGAGAACGTAGTTAAAATGTGTGAATGGTTCAAGTTTTGACAAGAAAACTGTTGTCCGTAAGAAAGAGTGTGTTTGAAGTGGTATAAAAAACTGGGTTCTGTCTTATTTGTGAAATCCAATGGGACCGTGTAGCCAAAGATTCTATCACAGGGAATAAGCACAAGTGGCCGAGTTACAGTTGCATGTGCAACCTTAAGAGCCTAAAGTTTGAACTGCAATCCAGGCCCAGTTTCCAGGGGTGCTGCGTACTCACTAGCACTCCCCATCTTCAGCTGGGTGCTCCGCGATTTAAAAAATCAGACCATCTCTTTGAATAGAAATGATATTTCAACATTAGACAATGTGCTGTATTTGGGGCTGTACTTAACATCCACTTGGACACCAAAGCTGGTGCAGCTGGTGGCTAGCCCCTTGTTAAGCAGTGTAGCCCTCTGTGACCACATGACACTAGTCCGTGATTTGCACTTGCGTCCTTTTCAGCTCTGGGTGGGTTTTATGGTGGTGGTTTTTGGCCTAGCAAGCTCTAAAAGGCTTGGGACCTGCTTCCCTGGGAGACACCTCTCTCCCTGAGACCGACTGCCACAGCTGTGGTCGGTGGAGGAGCTCGAGCTACCTGGATTTACCAAAGAGGAAGCTGCTGGCATAACATCATCTGTGAGGGCTCCTGAACGTTGCAACTCTGCCCCCACTTTGGTTGGAGCAGCTGCTGCCTTTCATCTTGGGACCAGGGCTTTTTTTTGGTTGGGGGGATGAGGGGGATCGGAACTAACTGGAGACGGTGCAACATTTTAAACTTTCAAGCTGTAAGTGTTCTGTGGGTTTAGCTGGTCATTTGATTAGGGGGTTGGAAGGAGTCCCATATGAGGAGAGATTAAAGAGGCTAGGACTTTTCAGCTTGTAAAAGAGGAGACTAAGGGGGGATATGATAGAGGTACATAAAATCAGGAGTGGTGTGGAGAAAGTGAATAAGGAAAAGTTATTTACCTGTTCCCATAATATAAGAACTAGGGGCCACCAAATGAAATTAATAGGCAGCAGGTTTAAAACAAATAAAAGGAAGTTCTTCTTCACACAGCGCACAGTCAACCTGTGGAACTCCTTGCCTGAGGAGGTTGTGAAGGCTAGGACTATAACAGGGTTTAAAAGAGAACTAGATAAATTCATGGAGGTTAAGTCCATTAATGGCTATTAGCCAGGATGGGTAAGGAATGGTGTCTCTAGCCTCTGTTTGTCAGAGGGTGGAGACGGATGGCAGGAGAGAGATCACTTGATCATTACCTGTTAGGTTCACTCCCTCTGGGGCACCTGGCATTGGCCACTGTTGGCAGACAGGATACTGGGCTGGATGGACCTTTGGTCTGACCGAGTACGGCCGTTCTTCTGTTCTTATGTTCATTTTATGTTCTATGGTAAGGCGTGGCTGCTGGATGTATCTTCTTAAAGAAGTGGTAGAGATACTCAAGGCTGGGGATAAACACTTTTAATATTTTCTTCTAAATTAAAAGAAATAATTATATATATAAAAACCCCCACTCTCTTCTTGTCATTAGGGCTAGAATAGTAGTTCAGTGCTGCGGGCGTGCGCACACATCTCATTTCTGGCTCAGATCCTCAGCAGGTGTCAAGGGCTTGGGTCTGTCGACTGCAATGGAATTGTGCCAATTTACACCCGCTGAGGATGTCTGCCCGTAAATCTACATTCCATTGGAAAAGAACAAAGAAAATCTACGCTAAGAAAACACAAAGTTTGCCCAGTTGAGCACTCAAAAGAATCAGGAGACAACAAAGTTAAGGTTGCACATGCAACCTTGATGCTGTTCCATTGTGAGGATGCAATAGGATATAACCCTTAATTCTATGATCCCATATAATTATTTCCACAGGACCAGGCCTCATTTAGTGCACCAGGTGGACTGTGCTTAACCATGCTTGTTCAAACGTCCAAAAACCTTATTTTATTCTCTTCTTGTTTCTATATTGCATTCATAACTGTGGTATGGGATCAAGACTGAAAAATTTCATATTGAAAACTTTAGAAAGTTAGAAGGAATTGCAAAAAGGAATGGAAACCCTTGGACTTCAACAATAATAAGCGTATTTCTCAGGATATATAGCTACACAGATCAGACACAGATGTTTGTGTGTACTTCTGTTCAATCTGGTCTCAGTAACAGTAATATAATGGATGGCTGATACAATGTTTTAATATTAGTACAAAAGCACATATTTCTCCGGGTGATGTGACCATTAGAAATATCTAAAATGAATACACAAGAATTGATCAAAGATTCTGCAGATTGTTACCCCTGCTCAATGGGCATTTCAAAGTGAGGAGGAACCTGAATCCCATGAAAAGGACACTGTTTTTACAAAAAACAGAAACTACTGGTCACTTGATTGCTATGGGGCTGTAACTAAACTGGGCTTTCTTAAGGCAGAGGGCACAATCTAAGAGAAACAAAAAAAGACATGAGGGAGGGAGAGCGCGAGAGAGCTGAATTGATTTCAGTCTGTTCAGGTCTAGCTGGAAAACACAATGCAACGAAATGGCCCCTTAGTCAGCAAGCTGCTTTTCCTAGGTTTTTCCCAGGGTTTGAAGTGGAGCGGGAGGGATAGTGTCAGAAAAAGCAAGAGAGACAAGGCAGTAGGAATGGTGGGGAGATGAGAAACATAGCTTGGAAGGGTGCAAAATAGCCGGTTTCTTCTGGTGAGGGGCAAACTTTGATGTCAGTGTCTCTGATTTTAAAGGGGGAGTGTCAGGTTAAGGCTCAAAGGCCCTGCTGTTTGAACCCTGGCTCTGCTTGTGCTCATGCAAGTCCGCCTGTGCACACACCTGCATGCACATTTGACATGCGCGAACACCTGTGGGCAAATCCATTGGACCAATGGGTCTCGCACATTAGGATTCTATGACTTGCATGCCCAGGTATTTGAATAAACATGCGTAGGTGTCAGTACTGGCAAGTCCTGGTTGCAATCACATGTGCACCAGCAGAGGCTGGGTTTTGGCCCTATTGAAAAGTTGGGTTATTTTTGCCTTTTAAAAGAACTTTCATCCCAATGGTACTAAAACAATCTCAAGACTCTCAACCACTCTGTGAAGTGGTAAATCTTGTTATATTCTGTAGATGGGGAAAGTGAGACAGTGAAAGGCAATGTGACTTGCCCATGTCATGCAATACTCACACCAATGTCAGGGTTCAGAACAGAATCTGGGAGACTAGACTCCCGTTCTCCTGCAGTAACCATTAGGCAACGTGTGCTCTGGATTATGAGGCATTCTGCACTGGATGTTTGTTCTGAATTTCTAACTGCATTTTTATGTAATTCAAATAATTCAGAGACACTATCAACAGTGAGTCCATTGCAATCACAGAGCAAAGCTAAAAGCACAGGGCCAAATTTATCGCTGATGTTACCTGACTGATTTCATTAGAGTTGTTCCAGGGGGGAAATTGGCCTAAAGTTTTTTCCTCTCGTTCTGCATTCCAAAGAACAGAAAGGCTTTTGCACTCAAGGTGGAGCTCTGAGAGCTCTAGGTCTGCTGGGTGGCACAGCTGATCTCGCTGGAGTTCTCATCCAAATATTGCATCAAGCACTCTAACATGCGGGCAAAAGAGAAAACATATCTAAGGGTTAGGTGGGGCTAAAGATCAACTTAGTAACAGATACAAATGTTACTTGAAAGATTCCTGAGCCATATAACCTTATGTTTTGGCTGAACCACAAGCATACTCACACAGGGTAGTCCACACATCCTGGAGAAAGATAGACAGTGAATCAGTTTGCTTGCAGCTGACAGAACTTATCAGATGGAGAGGTTTTGACTTGAGATTTCGGGATGTTGGCGTTTTCCTTCCCAATTCTTGTTTCTATTTAAATAGATCAATCCAAAGTGAAAGGCCTTTTTTCGTGGCAGGTGGGCTGGAAAAGGGGGTTTAATAGCTCTTTATTCCTGGATTTATAATCCGACACGCTGTACACACATGTTTGTCACAGAACTGTGTGACCTGCCTGCCTCTCATCCATACATTGTCCAGCAGATGTTAAAGCTATCAAGGATGTTTGCAGTGCCAAAGGAAAACATTCTTTATTTTGGGATGTGGGATTTTTTTTACTGATCTAAACAAATAAACCAAAAGTAGTCTTTCCAAAGGAGAGGTGGGACTTGCATGATCCTAAGAATCCCATGTAAGTGAGGATCTGAGTCCCCTCCTCTGGCCCATAAACTATGTTTGCAATTATTTGTGCCTACAGCTTATTGTTATTACAAACCTGAGGCTAGGTTAGCGCATTGGCTTTAGATTTTTATCTACATATAGTTATTATAACGATTGAGCACTAGTTAGTATTTATGTGCATTACAGTAACACCGAAGGGCCCTGAACAGAATAGGGGTCCCATTGTACTAGACACTGCAGAGACACATTGAAAGACATTGTCCCTGCTCCAAGACTCTTACAATCTTGCAACTGGATCTGCTAGCAGGGACCAAGGCACTCATGCAGGACTGGGGCCTAACAAAACAATTGTCAGGGGGAGGGATACAATTCATTCTGTACTATTTTTATATATGCATTAGAGACATTTTTGTTTACTTAGAAATACAAGACAACACAGTTCTCCCTAGCTGCCTCTCAAATGATCCTTTCAAATGGTTTTCATGGAAGAGGTTGGTCTTTAGGAGAGTTTTGGAGGAGAGGATAGTGCCCTTAGAGATCAGCATGGGATAAATTGAGAATTGCACCAAAATGTTGGTTTCCAGCACTGAATAAGCGCCGATTGCTTTATATAGGTATCGGTGTCACATTCACCCTACAAACCGAATCACTGCTGATTCTAGGTCCGCATAATAAGAAACACCAGAACTAGCCAAAGTAAGTAGCAGCAAAAGACCTGCAGCCTTCTGGTGAAAAAAGTCCAGTCTACAAGACGGGAATGTCTCTGAAGTGCTCCTTTGACTCTGACCATCTTCTACAATGAGGAGTAGCGAGCCTAGAAACTCGAGCAACCCTGGTTCTGTGAATTTCTAATTGCGGAAGACTAAAGCTGTGGAGTGTACCTATGAAATACGTGCAGAGTGGGGTGACGACCCCTCGAAACAACATCTCACTCAACGGGGTCCTGAGCATGCTCCCAAAGAAGCCAATGGGAGTTTTATCATTGGCTCCAACAGGCTCCAAGTGAGAAAGAAAAAACCCTAAAATATGTTTGTAGGTAGCCCCGAGAAGACACAAGACTCAAAAACATTCCTTTTGGAGATCAAGGGTGACCAGCCTTTGAAGCCTGGAGGGTTGGGGAGTTTCTCAATCTGTGTGCGGCACTCATACCGCACCAGTAGAAATCTAGCATTTGGAATTGAAAAGCGTTTTAAATTGAATCATTCAGAATCCCACAGCTGTCTGGTGAGTGACAACCTTATGCGGCTGAGGGGGGTCGGGTGGGGGGAGTGAGTTACTGTTGCGAAAACAGTTAATTTAAACTTTTTTCTAAATAGATTCTTCAGATAATTCTTCGAAAAACAAGGTTAATAAATAAATAAAATCAGTTGATGGACTTCAAGAAAGTAGCAAATTAACAAAACAAACCAATAACAAAATCAGAATCCAAAGTAAAGGAACGCCTGCAGTTTTGGCACTTAATGAATAATAATCATTCAAATAAATTAGTAATAAATGAACTGTCAAGGCCAAATCTGAAAAAAAGGAGATGATGCAGTTTTACTGACTGTAGCTGAAGATCTACTTTTATTACACTGCAGCTTTGCCGAGACAGAGCTTTCGGAAGCTTTGCTGTTAGGTTTCAGTGACCAAAATATTTGGGTTTTTAAATTTTTAAAAAAACCTTTTCAACCAGCTGTGCTGCTGAGGCCAATGTATAAGTATTGTCCAGGTATGGCAAGTGGAAAACGAAATTGACCATCAGCCTAACATCACTATGAGCTGAGTATAGCGCAAAAAGCAACCAAACAACATCCAGGATGACAGAAAAGTTAGATTTGTAAAATTCTTTCTCTTTTGATAATATATTAGTAATAAAGGGCCCCATCCTGGAAATGTGTAATAGCTTGTGAGATGTGATAATTCCCCTCAGCTCCCACTGAGGGCTCTCAGCTTCTTGCAGAAGATGTTGAGTACCTCACAGGATAGGGACCAAAAGATATACACCTCTACCCCGATATAACGCTGTCCTCGGGAGCCAAAAAATCTTACTGCGTTATAGGTGAAACCGTGTTATATCAAACTTGCTTTGATCCGCCGGAATGCGCAGCCCTGCCCCCCCGGAGCGCTGCTTTACCGCGTTATATCCGAATTCATGTTATATCGGGGGAGAGATGTATATAGTTTTATATGAGATTTTTGCCCCTTTAATGGCACTTTGTACAAAGCAGCTTGTAATTCTGATTTGTTCTGCCTTATTTTTATGGAGACTAAACCAAATCCATGAAGCATGATTTGGAAAAAAACAGCAGAAGATTTTACCTCATATTCAACATAACCTTCTTTTTATCCTCTTTAATCCCTCAATAATTTTTTGTGCTTCTCCTGCAGAAAAGCAATTTTGCTAATCACCTTTGTGCCAATCCCTGCATTCCTGACAATAGTGTGAACAGCTTCCATCGAAGTCTTTGATGTGGGAAAGACACACACACATGTAATCTGAAAACAATTCAGTTCCTTGCTGCTCAATGGAGAGCACTCTGCTTTAATAGACTGCAAGTTCAGTGGAGGTTTCTAATCCTTTCTGCCAAAGAAGAGAAGAGACTCAGTCAGGTAGCACACCTTATTCAGAAGTTAAAATAACATGTTACCGCTCTCAAAGAAAATCAAAACAACTCAAGATCAAAAACAGATTCCGCCATCCCTAACGGAGTAGACTCTCTACTCAGATAACGCTTGATCTAAGTGTGTAACAAGTAACCTGCTTTAATCCCTCAAAGCGATGGTGTTACAGATAAGTACTGTAGTAGTATATGCGGTGGCTTAAGTTTCAGAAATATACAAAAGCGTTGGGTGAAAAGAAAAACAAAACCAAACCCTGTCCACTTGACTGTGTCTTTAGCTGGAAAGGTATATTGGAGGGCAGTACAGAGATGAATAAAAGCCCGTGGAAAGGAGATAGCAAGCAAATGATGGGCAGGTATTGACATGGTATTTCTTACATGCTGCAGTTGACTGACTTTTACCATTACCTTAGAAGCTTTCAGATTATAACTGCTCATTTAGGCCCTGCTCCGGTTGTGCCAGCCCAGAGCCCTGCTAACTTCAATGAGGCTCTGTGCAGTCATTGCCCATGACAGGATTGGGGCCTTAGCTTGTTAGCTTTCTGAGGCAGGAAATGTAATTTGCAATATGTTTATTCAGTGCCTAGCACAATGGGGCCTCAGGTGAGTGCAATATAAACAACAAAACGAAAGTGATAATGATAGATGTATGTTTATTAGTAACAGGCAAGATCCCCAAGTGCTTCCTTATGTCCTGATCCTCCAAACATTTTTACATGCTTGCTTTTTCACACGAGTAGAGTAGTTCCAGTGGGTTCTTAGGGTCTGATGCTGCAAACACTCACTTACCTGTAGTCCCTACTACTGTGAGCAGTCTGTAGGTAATAAGCATTTCGATACTTTGTGGTTGTATGTCATGCGGGTAGATAACATAGACAGTCCCACTGAAGTCACAGTAGTATGAACTATGCCTGGGAATACATGCTTGCAGCATTGGAACTATTCAGTTTGTTTGTTTGTTTGTTTCTTTCTTTCTAAAATAATAGAATGGTGCTATCATCTTTCTGAAAAGATTTAGGCAATGCCTATACTATGGCTTATGTCAGCATAATTTATGTCACTCAGGGGGGTGAATAAATCACCCCCCTGAGCAATGTAAGTTACACTGACATAAGCACTGGCGTGGACAGTGCTATGTTCCGTCGGCAGAGCTACCACCTCTCACGGAGGTGGTTTTATTATGTCAATGGGAGAGCTCTCTCTCATCGGCACAGAGCGTCTTCACCAGACGCTGAAGCACTGTATGTGTAGACAAGCCCTTAGTCTTTGCGATTATGTTGAAGGGTAAAAATCTATACTAGTACACAAAGCTTATTTTTACGGCTGTCGATTAAGTGCAGTTAACACATGCGATTAACTCAGAAAAATGAATCATGATTAAAAAAATTAACCGTGATTAATCACAGTTTTAATCGCACTGTTAAACAATAGAATACCAATTGAAATTTATTAAATATTTTGTATGTTTTTCTACATTTTCATATATATTGTATTCTATGTTGTAATTGAAATTAAAGTGTGTATTATTTTTTATTACAAATATTTGCACTGTAAAAATGATAAACAAAAGAAATAGTATTTTTCAATTCACCTCATATAAGTACTGTAGTGCAATCTCTTTGTCCTGAAAGTGCAATTTACAAATGTAGATTTTTTTTGTTACATAACTGCACTCAAAACCAAAACAATGTAAAACTTCAGAGCCTAAAAGTCCACTCAGTCCTACTTCTTGTTCAGTCAATTGCTGAGTTTGTTTACATTTCCAGAGGATAATGCTGCCCCCTTCTTATTTACAATGTCACCAGAAAGTGAGAACAGGCATTTGCATGGCACTTTTGAAGCCAGCATTGCAAGGTATTTACATGCCAGATATGCTAAAATTTCGTATGCCCCTTCATGCTTCGGCTACCAATCCAGAGGACATACTTCCATTCTGATGACGCTCATTTCTTAAAAAACAAACAAACCTAAATTTGTGACTGAACTCCTTGGGGGAGAATTGTATGTCCCCTTCTCTGTTTTACCCGCATTCTGCCATATATTTCATGTTATAGCAGGCTTGGATGATGACCCAGCACATGTTCGTTTTAAGAACACTTTCACTGCAGATTTGACAAAACGCAAATAAGGTACCAATGTGAGATTTCTAAAGATAGCTACAGCACTCGATCCAAGGTTTAAGAATCTGAAGTGCCATCCAAAATCTCAGAGGGACAAGGTGTGGAGCATGCTTTCAGAAGTCTTGAAAGAGCAACATTCCGATGTGGAAATTACAGAACCTGAACCACCAAAAAAGAAAATCAACCTTCTGCTGGTGGCATCTGACTCAGTTAATGAAAATGAACATGCGTCGGTCTGCACTGCTTTGGACTGTTATGGAGCAGAACCTGTCATCAGCATGGACACATGTCCCCTGGAATGGTGGTTTAAACATGAAGGGACATATGAATCTTTAGCACATCTGGCATGTAAATATCTTGCAATGCCAGCTACAACAGTGCCATGAGAAAACCTGTTCTCACTTTCAGGAGACGTTGTAAACAAGAAGCGGGCAGCATAATCTCCTGAAAATGTAAACAAACTTGTTTGTCTGAGTGATTGGCTGAACAAGAAGTAGGACTGAATGGACTTGCAGGCTCTAAAATTTTACATTGTTTTATTTTTGAATGCAGTTTTTTTTGTACATAATTCTACATTTGTAAGTTCAACTTTCATGAAAGAGATTGCACTACAGTACTTGTATTAGGTGAATTGAAAAATACTATTTCTTTTGTCTTTTTACAGCGCAATGTGTTGTAATTGAAATCAGTACATTTGAAAATGTAGCAAACATCGAAAATATTTAAATAACGGTTTTCTATTATTAACAGTGCAATTAATTGTGATTAATTTTTTTAATCACATGATTAGTCGTGATTAATTTTTTTAATCGCTTGATAGCCCTACTTATTTTTAAGGTGCATAACCCCACAATGTTTTATTCATAGTACTGTGCTTGTCCTATATCCGATCCTTTGCATAATTACTGCTTGCAAATAGACCTTTTAGCTGATCCAAATACTTCTTAGTTCTGTACCTCTTTATTGGACTTACATACATGTTTAACTTCATAGATTCCAAAGCCAGAAGGGATCATTGTGATCATCTAGTCTGACCTCCTGCATGCATGGGCCATAGACCTTTCTTGAATTAATTCCTGCTTCATGTCCAATAGCTAGAGCATATCTTTTAGAAAAACATCCAATTTTGATTTAAAACAGTGATGGTGAATCTAGTGCAGCCCTTGGTAAATTGTTCCAATGGCTAATTACTATCATTGTTAAAACATTGTGCCTTATATCTGAATTTGTCTAACTTCAACTTCCAGCCACTTGACCGTGTTAAACCTTTGTCTGCTAAACAGAAGAGCTCTCCGTTAGCAAATTTCTGTTTCCTATGTAGATATTGATAGACTATTTAACCTTCTCTTTGATAAGCTAAATAAATATAGCTCCTTGAGTCTGTCACTATAAGGCAGGTTTTCCAATCCTTTAATCATTCTCAAGGCTCTTCTCTGAATCCTCTCCAATTTATCAACATCCCTCTTGAAGTGTGGATACCAGAACTGGACAAGTGTTCCAGCAGCAGTCACACCAGTGCCTAATACAGAGGTCATATAATCTCTTTACTTCTATTCAATATCCCCCTGTTTATGCATCCAAGGATCGCATTAACCCTTTTAGCTACAGCATTGCACTGTGAGCTCATGTTCAGCTGATTTTCAACTAGGACCCCATAGTCTTTTTCAGAGTTACTGCTTCCCAGGATAGACTCCCATGCTGTAAATATGGCCTCGATTCTTTGTTCCTAGATATATGTCTTTACATTTGGCTGTATTGAAACATATATTGTTTGCTTGTGCCCAGCTTACAGAGAGATCCAGATCGCTCTGTATCAATGACCTGTCCTCTTCGTTACTTACCACTCTACCAATTTTTGTGTCATCCGCAAACTTTATCAGTAATGATTTTATGTTTTGTTGCAGGTCATTGATAAGAATCTTAAACACCACAGGGTCAAGGATCAACCCCTCCGAGATCCTACTAGAAATACACCTGCTCTACGATGAGTCCTCATTTACACGTATATTTTGAAACATATCAGTTAGCTAGTTTTTAATTCATTTAATATGGCATGTTGATTTTGCATCATTCTAATTTCTTAACCAAAATGTCATGGAGTACCAAGTCAAATTCCTTATGGAAGTCTACGAATATTACATCAGCCTTATTACTTTTATCAATCAAACTTGTCAGTTAGTTTGATAAGCTCTATTTTCCATAAATGCATGTTGCTAGGCATTAATTATATTACTTTATTTTAATTCTTTATTAAGTGAGTCTTGTATCAGTCACTCTATTTTGCTTGGGATCAAAGGTAGGCTGACAGGCCTATATTAATGGGGCTATCCTGTCTACCCTTTTAAAATTTTGGCACAATATTTGCTTTCTTCCATTCCTCTGGAACTTTCTCAGTGTTTCAAGATCTATTAAGAAGCAACATTCATGCTCCAAAGAGCTCCTCGGCCAGCTCTTTTAAAACTATTGGATGCAAGTTATCCGGACCAGCTAATGTAGTCAAGAAAACTACTTGAGTGCTTAAGGTTAAGCACATACTTCAGTGTTTTTCTGGATCGAGACCTAAGTATTGAATAAAGGCCTTCTCTTATGGTCATCCTATTATATTCTGAGGTGATCATATGACATCAATTAATAATTATTTGCCTTTTTAGCTGTGGGGCAGGTTTGGAGTTCTATGATTGGTAAGCAATCCCCGTATACAGCACTCTGAGCAGGTGGAAGGTGCTATGGGCTTGTATGATGTTGTTAGCTTATTTGTTTACCCCAGTGGGGAGAGTGGGGCTGCATGTCTGTTTTGGGTTAGGAGCCTTCCCTGTATAAAACGCTCCAGATTGGGTGGAAGCTGCTATGAAAACGTATCATATTAGTAAATTCTTAATAATAAATAATATAATATGTGTCTGCTCCAGTGCGTGCGGGGCTGTGTTTCCGCATTCGTTCAGGCGCGAGCCATGTCCCCATCAGTCCAGGCTCCTGCAGGATGGCACTAATGACTTAGTTATTAATTATGATTCATTATTCTTTTCCTGCCCCAGCGTGCGCGTGCATGTGTTTGTCATGCTGGCGTTGGGGGCCCGGAGGATATTGTTAAATTATTGTTAACGCACACGAGGGGTTCCTTCCCTGCCCCGGCACGTGGGGCCGCGTTTCCTCGGTGGGCGAGAAGCGACCCCTCGCTCCCGGTGCCCTGGCGGCGTTGCCACGGAGGCTCGTTATTCCGTTATTAACGAAGATTGGGCTGCCCGGGTCACCGTGCGGTGCGAGGCTGCCCTGCCCGGGGGGTGGGTGCGGCGCCCTCCCCGGGGCACCCAGGATGTTATGAGCCATGGGCCCAATGACTGAGTTAATTAGCGAGCTGGCCGGGCCCTGTCTGCCTGGGGAGTGACAGGCAGCTGCTCCTGCCCCATGTGACTGGGGAGAGGCTGCCCCCGTCCATGGCTTGGCCTCCCCCAGGCAGCAGCAGCTCCGGCTCCCGGGGAGGAGGGGCAGGGGCTGCTGCTCCATGGGGAGGAAGGGCAGCCCGCGGCCCCCCCAGGCCGAGGGGGGGTGCGGGCCCGCCCGCCCCTCCCTCCTGTGGGCCCTGCCCGAGGAGCTGCTGCTGCTCATCTGCTCCTACCTGGACGCGCAGGCCCTGGGCCGGCTGGGCCAGGTCTGCCGGCGGCTGCGCGCCTTCTCCGGCCGGGACCTGCTCTGGAGGCGCATAGCCCGCGGCTGCCTCAACTCCGGCTTCACGCAGCTCGGCGCCGACCTGTAAGCGCTCCCCGTCCCCGCCTCGCGGGCTCCCCGGGCCGGCCGCGGCGGGTGGGAAAGGCCGGGGAGGCCGCGGCCTAGTTGGTTGCCAGGGGCCGGCGCGGGGGCCGGCGTGGTCGCTAAGGCGCAGCGGGGGCTCCGCGGCCGTAAGGGGGCTATTCCCGAAGCGCGGCTGCGCCGGCCCGAGCCCCAGGGCCCGATCTGGAGGCCAGGGCGAGGGGGCTCCAGGCCCCTCGTCCCCTGCCCTGTCGGAGGGGATGGAGCCACTTCCCCCCCGTGTGCAGCCTGAGCGTGGCCCTATGGGTGACTGGGGCCCCCCCATGGCTAACAGAGGTTAAAAAGCCATGGGGGGGGGGGAAGAGTCATGTCAGTGCAGCCCCACCCTGTGCTAGGCGCTGTACAGACCAGTATGAAGACCCCATCCCTGCTATGAAATACATGTGTGTGTGTGTGTGTGCATCTATATACACCCATCCACACAGTCATCCATTCCCCATCCTCTCCCCCGAAACATGGTGGGCATGAAAAACAGACCCTTCGTTTGCTGCTCCAGAAGGGGGGGGGGAGCCGCACGTAGCCCAGGTAAGTAGGTTATCACGACTGACACACCCACTTGCATCCAAAATAGTCACGCTGGTGTCGGCCAGCTATCAGCCTTGCTCCCTGTGTGACGTCTGGTGATGTCCCACGCCGGCAGCGTTCATGGTTTTACAAAAACAACAAGGAGTCTGGTGGCACCTTAAAGACTAACAGATTTATTTGGGCATAAGCTTTCGTGAGTAAAAAGTCACCTAAAAACAAAGACGGTTCATTCGACAGTGAAATTGACCAGGCAGAATGCTGTCAAGTTAAACTTGCTCCAAACTGTTGTGGAAACAAGCTTTGTCCAAACCAAAGACCATATTAAATTAATAATGCAGCTAGCTCTTGAGTGCAGTTTGTAAGTTCTTTGAGGTATGGCCTGTTTCCCGCCCCCCCCCCCATCTTTGTACAGTGCCTTCCACAGTGGGGCTTGTGTCTTGGTTGGCGCCCCTAGCGCTACTGTGATACAAATAGATAATAATAAAAACATATTCCACAGAAATGTTTGAAACCCCAGCATTACAGCACATCATTATATGTGAGCAAAAATTACACTGGCTACATATGAAGGAGAAAATATTTTTTTTGTCCGAACTGAAAGAAAGGTCAGGCTTGACAAAGCCCTGGCTTGGATGATTTAGTTGGGAATTGGTCCTGCTTTGAGCAGGGGGTTGGACTAGGTGACCTCCTGAGGTCCCTTCCAACCCTGATATTCTATGATTCTATGAAATGCAGAAAGTAACCAAAGTGCATTAATAGTAAATTGGACTTTTTTGAATTCCCTTGCTTTTAATAACCTAGATATAATTAGTAGCCAGTAAAGGCACTTTTGTTTACAACATACAAATCTTCCTTCTCGCATGCTGCTCACTTCATCTCCTCTCCTATTGTCTGCCTACAAATTGTCCGTAAGGGCTCAATCTAGCTAACCTTTTACTTGTGCAAATGTTCCTTTGTAGTAAATAGGATTACTCATGTGCGTGAAGTTACTCACGTTTATTTTTGGCTGGATAAGGCCTGTAAGGATAGGGAAGACAGGATCTACTGAGAAACCCACAAGAGAGATCTGAGTTTTTATTTTTATTATTAACTAGTCACTTGTGGCCATCACAGAAGAAATGGCTCTTCGGGACTCGTGTATTGTAGGACCCATTGGGGTTTATGGGTTATAAACTCTTCAGGGCAGGAACCTCATTTTCTTACTTGGATGTAAAGCTTGTAGCACATTTTAGGATTTGTCAACCGTTTCTGCGTGGAGCCCTATTCAGTGTGGCTTTGCATGGACACAAGTATCTGCCTACATGAAACAGCTTGCAGGATTGGAGCTTGGGTTGCTGAGGATCCAAACGTTGTTTGCTTCTCTTTAAAATCTATTAAGCTCCTTCTACAATGTATGAAACGCTGTCTTAAGCAGCCACATGACATTTACTTTTCTTGTATGCAGTGTTGTTGTAGCCATGTTGGTCCCAGGATATTACAGAAACAAGGTGGAGGAGGCAATATCTTTTATTGACCAACTTCTGTTGGCGAGAGAGAGACAAGCTTTCGAGCTGACACAGACCGGAAGAAGAGCTCTGTATAAGCTCGAAAGCTTGTCTCTCTCTCTCCAACAGAAGTTGGTCAATAAAAGATATTGCCTCACTCACCTTGTCCCTCTAATTTACTTTCCTTATTACTTTTGGGACTCCAACAGATAGATAATAAACTTCTTTAAAAAACGTTTCCTACTGATCTGTATAAAAATGTTCCTGAATGAAAATATATCCAAACACCAACGGCTCAAACAAGAGCTGAGATTGTGGGAGGGGGCTAATGGGAGCTGTGGGAAGTTCCCACATATAGATTTTAAGATCAGAAGATAGGGTTGGGTCATCTAGCCTGACCTCCTGTATAACACAGACCATAGAATTAACGTCTCAGCCACGCTGAGTGTGATACAAACCTGTGTAGGAAAACCCAATTGGTGTTCAAGTCTAACACCTAACCCACTCAGCCATCACAGCCCAGGACTGCACTCTTTGCTCAGGCAATGCTCCCTTTGAAGTCAGCGGGAGTAAGAGCTGTGGGGCAGCTGTGCATTGTGGCTTCTGGAGTCTGTCTGCTCCGATATATTATTTTGTCTTCTGAGGAAATGAAGTTCTGTATTTTTTCATTAAGAATAAGGTGGTGCAGTGCCGCTCCGGCTGCAGGAGGGATCAGGTATACAGCAGAGCAGGTGCAACACAGTGGAATGTAGGCCAATAAACAGCTACAAAAAGCTTCAGTAAGTTTGCGGGGGATATGAGTGGAGGATGTTTGTAAGTGGGGGCAAGGGTGCTTGAACCTACATAAACTTCCAGGGTTTTGGTGTTCTCTTAGATGCACTTTGGACAGTTTCTTTGATAATTCTGGGGCATCCTTTTAAAATGTCTCTTTAAATACCTCTGCATGATTAGTACTATTTCAATGCTGACAGTATGGTCAGTGCTGTATAAATGGACGCACAGTCCTGGTCCCAGGGAATTTACAGTCAGACATGGACAATACACCAGATCAGTGGTTGTCAGCCTGTGGTCCCCGGACTCATGGGGTCTGCAGACTATGTCTAAGATTTCCAGAAGGTCTTCCCCTCCATTTGACATTTTTTAGGGGTCTACAAATGAAAAAAGGTTGGAACCACTGCACCAGATGACACTACAAGCCGCTTATGCAGCAACCTCAAGGAGTATCAGGTGGCTAACCAGCAGGCTTGAAAAACATGGAACCTCAAGGATGGAGACACGGGATGGATCACTTGATGATTCCCTGGTCTGTACACTCCCTCTGGGGCACTTGCATTGGGCACTGTCGGAGGACAGGATACTGGGCTAGATGGACCTTTGGTCTGACCTAGTCTGGACGCTCATCTGATCTTTACTCTTTGTTGAGGTAGATAAACTGAGTATCATGGCATGTGCTGTGTGCGGATCTGCTGGCTCTGCATGGAGATTAAAGATCTCATAGGACTTCTTGGGTGAGGATTATCCCAGTGTTCTTTGCCAAAAGCTCCACACCTCTGTACCCCAGCTGGTTGCCTCCCTTCTCCCCAGTGATGGTGTGTCAGTGTAGAGCTATCTCGTGAAGAGCTGTGGAGTGAAAGGGGTGATATAAATGTTCCATATAGCACTGCTGCACACAGGTGCCAAACTCGCACCTAGACTTTACTGATATTGGATTAACAGACCTTCCATGGCAGCTTTTTCCTCCCTGTCTATCCTCTGGTCTTTGTGTTTGTCTGGAAGCCGGAGACTTGGGGTGTAGGGATAAGTGTCTATACATAAGGAATGATGGTGGTTTGGTATAGGTGGCTCACTGGTCACAAACTTAACTATTATAGAGTAGGTGCTTAAACTAAACCATTACAGGGTGAATGGAGTGGTGATGGAGACCAAAGATAGTTGGGCTGCCTTGTCTACCCCTCCCACTCTGGCTAATGCAAGATTATTCTCTGGAGATTTGCCAGTTTAGTTTTAAATTATATAAGTAATAGGGCTTCCGTCACTTTCTTTAGAGCAGCAATGGAAACATTGCCTAAAATTAAGGTTTTTGTTTTCAAGAAGTTTGCACAACTATGTTCACTAGGGAAAGAGAGCAAAGAATGCTGGTGCCCTACCAATAAATTTGTTGAACTGCACAGTTCTAGCAGAGATCTCAAACTGTTGCCCCCTGAAAGGTTAGCACAAGAAAAATGCTAGTGTGGAAGGTGTAAATTCTGTGCAAATTTTCTTTTTATGGTACAGAAGTCCCATTTGCTGTAGCTTTATGATTTATTACTTCTGCTGTTAAATAACTTGTATAAGACATCTGATAACACTGTGTGTGGGATAGAGGTAAATTTGGGTCTGAAATATGGGATGTCCTCGGTAATTGACTGGGTTTTTTTTCCCCCTTCGTTTTCTTAAAGGTACACCAACTTGAAAATGACACGTCTCTCAAAATTTTGTACCTTTAAGTATAACTGAAGATTTCTGTAATCTCAGAGAAACAAAGCTATTTTTGTTTTAGTTTGTACGTTTGATTGTGTTGTCGGTTTCACTATTGTATGAACCTTTCATAGAGCAATGGGAAAGAGAGACCCTTCCACCCTCCACCCCCTTAAAAAAAAAAAAGTGATTGTAAAACCATAACCATTGGCAGCAGGGTGAGGCAGTAACTGAAACTCCTTTGAATTCATTCTTTGAAACTGCCTAGATTTCAGGTTGACTGTGCCCATCATATTTGTATCTGGGCACATATTCAGACCGACCCCCCCCCCCCCCTCCAAAAAAACCCCAAAACCCTGCTAAAGTGGTTCAGGCACATAGATTGGGTCCATTTCTTTTAATCTCAGCCTTTAACTGTTTCACACAATCAGCTATTGGTGCTGAGTGGTGGTGTTAAAATGTAAGCAACATTAACAA